TGCTATGAAAGTGGGTGTATATCATTTTTAACATACAAAATCTTAACTGGATAGTTAAGACTTCTGTCAATCTAATCAAACAACTAAAAGTGGCTTGTTGAATTTAATTCTGATTATTACCAAACGTATAACGATATGGAATGCTTTTAAAGCACCCTCTTTTAGATACATTGGAAGAAAATCATAAAAAATCTTCGAATTTACTTCTGTTTTTTCAACTTGCAAATCTTTATCTTAACAAGGATATGAAGCCAGGTGATTGTATTGGCTCAAATCATGATAAATCACAATTCCCACACTTTCGTAGTAAACATTAAAGTGCAATAAGAAAACAATTGAAATAAAAACTAAAAGAACAAGAAACAAGTGTAAAGTACTTATAAATATAAAACAAAAACAAAACAAAAGTATAAGAACAATACATAAACAAGACATAACATAAAATGTATGAAATATGTATATAATGAAAAGAAAAAGCTTCGATGTATTTGCAACGCTGCCCAATGAGTTATACAACGTGTATGGGTTGAATGAGCGAATAAAGGTGGCCGGGAACAAACTTCCAAACATCCTATGAATAAGACTAGCAAATGTACCCGCATTTATTTGACTAAAACCGTGTTTAATTTTGTATTAACAATTCAGTAATAAATATTCTTGTTTTCATAATAATTTATAGCACTTGAACGATCTTAATCGGTATTTGAAATCACTGTTACAATGACTATAGTTTTGTCCTTTTCATACCTTGTTCACAAGTCTGAACAGTAATGGTCAACTCGCTAGTAGAGTTCTCTTTTAATAAAACTGTTAAGAATCAGTTTATTTAACACACATTATTATCAGCCTATAACTGTCTACTACTGAGCAAAGACCTTTTCTCACACGGAGAAGGTTTCAGCGTTAATAAAAACGCTTGCTCAAGCCGAATTGGCTATTTTAAACGTATAATTAGAAGTTATAAATGAGACCAGGTTCTTTACAGTTTATCAGTGGAGTCTAAATAAACTTAGTAACTGCATAGAACTTGGAAAAAGTCATATAGAACTTGTCTCAATAATGACGCAAAAGTATAAGCAGCCTTTATCGTCGACCAAGAAGGATCTGCATATATATATGGAGAGATATTATCTGTTAATACTAGCCTATTACGTAGGTATATCGAGACGATATTTTTCCCTAAACATTTCTTATAATAACTATCTTTGCGATTAAGTAAAAGTGCATAATCTCAGCTGGTCATACGCATTATGGAAGCTGCAGACACGTAATGTGTGATGTGCAAGACAATACAACATTGACAACCCAGTGCATTGCTCCCAACCAATTTGTGAACAGGTGGCTTGGTTTCATAAGGTGAATTGTACTTTTCATGCTTGACTTATCTCCCTTGAATGTACGAAAAAAGTGTTTTGGTAGCTACTTCAAGTTCAATCGAAATAAGTATGTTAGCTACCAAAAACAACGTATTACAGAAGTTTGTTTATATATTGAGAAGCCATTGCATCCATCCTCGTACACAATAATTTTGAAAATTACCATTTTAAGAAAGATTCTGAGTAAAACCAAAACACGGGAGCATTCACTTCTCAATATATCATAATATATGCTTAATGGAAAAGAGGCCCAACTCAAAAAAAAGGTACTTATTTGAATCTTAACAAATTGTTTCAATTATTATAAGGTTCAATTTTGAAATACCCTCTTTTATGAGTTGTTCTGTTTTCTATTTAACATGCGTATGTCGACAAACTTCCAAAATACGTTACGCAACCGGCACGCAAAAGCAACTTAATCACGTGACCAATCAATCAAAACGAACAGTGAGCGAAAACGTAGTAAAAACGAGCCAATTAGCAAGACATCGACAAGACGGACAACCACAAGGACAAAACATCGCGATATCTATGTGCAGTATTCCAATCCCCCCTACCCCCAGTGAGTAAGCATGTGAAAGCAAGCCACCGGAGTACGAGGCAGTTAGTGGCCCGCTCAGGCGCTGACCTCGTCGTGATGGTCTTGGTGGGGCTCCATGGCGTCGCGGCTGCCGTGCCGCCCGCTTCTAGCTCGCGACTGCTTCACGATGTCCAAAGCCTATATGTACGTGCCAATCTCCATTAGCTCAAGTATTTCTTAGTCGTACTATGTTTTTAAATTGTACATGTCAAAAGTGACATGACACCCATTCTTTTAAGTTCGTTTAGAAATGGATGTAGGAATAATTTAAGGTTTCAAAGTAAAATTCGAATTCCTATAGAATAAATTTAGAAAAAAAAATTCATTTCGCCAATTATCAGCCACCTGAAAAATCTTCAATTTTGAAAGCCATAAATTGTTAATTAGCTTTTTATTCGTGACTTACTTGCTGTACGTGCTAGGCAGCGTGCAAAATGAATTATTTGTACGTTAAATTGTGCTAAATGTTATAATACTATACTTTATAAATATATACTGATATGTAACGGACTTGAAACTGATATTTTTCATAATTAATAAACCAGTCAATGTACTGTGTACGTCCGTCACATGTGTGCGTGTTGTAAGCATATAAAAATCGTGAAGATAAGAAAAACTTATAAATACATAAGATAAAATATACTTTAGCTTGTACAGATCAAGAATAGCTAATATATTAATAATATTAAAGTCCATTCTAGAATAAAATAGTGCTACATTATTCACTGTCGTGTTTCGTTAATAACAAACTGCCAGAATGTTGGTAGTTCTCGTGCATACAAACACATAGTGTTAAAAACGTGTAAGTAAGAGAGTTGATAACTCAATTAACCTTTATAATTACTCCCCATTTTAAATATGTCGCCTACTTAGGAACCTTGAATCTTTTACCTTAGAAACCTTTGTAGTGGTCGCAGTATCTATTATTTTTGGTAACTTTGTGAGTCCAAGCGTTTTATCGCTATTCATTCATATAAAAGGTACGATATTACTTCTACTGGATTAGGTGGTATGCTTGATGAAAGTATTATAATTATTTATTGTTATTTACATATTATTCATGAATGTAAATTCTGTACTTCTTATATGCAAGGGCTATATCTGCTTTCTGTATTAGATCTGATAAATCACATTAAGAGATGCCAAAGTCAGTCATTTATTTCAAATATACCATACCACAGCAGGCACTTTTGAACATCAAGCAAAAAAAAAAGATTTCTGAACTTTATCCATGTCAGTCTGTCCGCCTGTTCTCTAGTGAAGCTATTTGCTCGTTCCAAAGTGTAGATTCCTATGGAGAAGAACGAGCAAGAAACTCCATGGTTACTCTTTTTCAATCAGTTTTACAATTCATTTGAATTGTATTATTAAGTAGGCGACATTTCCCCTTAATATTATATTAAGATACTTTTTGTTTATTTATTTATCTACAGCCTGTGCACTATTTACCTCCTTCCGGCTACGGAGCGCGCAGTCTTCAAGCGTCTCAGCGGCTTCGTACTTGCCCTGGCGCCGGTAGAGGGCGCCCAGGTTCTTCAAAGTCGTTGTCACTGTTGGGGAATCGACCTGGGAACGTAATACATCAATTAGGTAAGTTTCTCCTTACATTTTTTTTATGTTTACTGATTTGCAGATACAAGATTTTTAAAGAAGTTCGAAATATTTGTCATTTTTAAGTATAGCTTTTGAGGTTGAATTTAATATCGTCTAAGCAAAATGTAGTGCAATAAAATCTATCTAATTAGGAATAAATCAAAGTTAAATAGAACACACTATAAAACGTCCAGGTTTCTTTTTATACTTAGCAATATCACACACACCAAGGACAGCATAATAAAGTCATTATTCAGTCTCTCCCAAATATCTCAACCCTTTTTGACAAAATTGGACTCACCTTAGCAGCTTTGTGCCATCCGCCATATTCTCCGTACGGAGCGTTTTCTTTCTGCAAGTGTTTGTTCTCCTCGCGTTCCTCGGCCACCTGCCAGATGGGCTTGTTATCGCCTGTAAACATATGTATCATAAATTAAAACTCAACAAAAACATAATTGACTATAATGATTATATAAAATAACAGTTTAGAAGCCCTAAAGTATTCAGATTACTTAATTAACAATTCCCAAAACCTTAGAAGGCCAATTAATAAAACAAGAAAATAGAAAAAAATAATAATAAGCCATATTTAATAAATTAAAAGCCAAAACCAAACTTATTATGTAAATAAAAATGTGACACAAGTCGGGAAGGTGTGACACACTGGCAAAAGACGTTTACAAATAAAACAAACAAAAAGATGAAATTATAAAAATAAAATACATTTAAAAATTATCTTTGCCTTTCCTACCTGTGCCACACAGTATCCGAACTTGTGTCACTCACCTATGGTTTATTTTTGTATAAATATCTTGAGAACGCATCGACAGTTGTGTGAATACCATGCAATGTCAACTTGCAGGCAGATTTAGTGGCCGCCGAGGTTCCAGGGATAGGAGGAGTTTAGAGACAATAAGTATGTATATACTAACTTTTAAACTTTCGCATTTCATGTATATAACATATAATTACAGGTCGAAACGTCAAGCTTACCAAGGTATATAAATAATTATTTTTAGCGTTAATACCCGTGTAATTAATATGTTGTAAATAACTAGATACTTCCTTATAGACATAAGTTTTCTTTTTCAAAAGTTTAGTAAAAAACAGAGTAAGAATTTATCGTGATTATGATTCCAAAGTGGCAGTACTTTGGTGTAGTTTTCAACTAGTCAAATTCAATACTTTTATCCTAGTTTCAAAAACGATACTTTTCTGTAAAACTCCATATTATGGCGTCACAGTATTGTTGCGTCAAACAGCTTACTTATTTCTTAAAAGTAAGCCAAAACATATACCAAGATTGATGTATAAATATTTATGTTTCAATAATTTATTTGTATTGAAACGTCGAAAAAGGAAACAACCCAATTAGGAACTAAACGTAGCTACTTATTGTCTCTGAACTCAAACAAAAATAATATGATAAAATAAACAAAACATTTTAAGGTTCTCATTTAATATAAATAAATATATTTGTTTATAAAATTATTGCACACTACATAATAATTCAGAGCCTCGTTACATTTGGTAATACAGGCATTCATTTGGCATTTTTAATAATAATTTTCTAGTTTGGTTTAAATTCGTAAACTTATTGTGATGTTTTTGTAAGCGTATACATTTGATACTGAACTTCAGTGTAGGATAATGACATATTGTAACAAAATAGTTACAATTTAATAAGTATTTAACGCTCACTTGAATGAACATATTAATTTGTGCATAAATGAAACGATTCATTTAGATTCTTGAGATAAAATGGAGTTTTTTCATAGCTTTTTCAATAGTATCTTGCTTATTTGGTTCAATCTTTCATAATATTAAACATTCTACCAGATGGTAGGGTTGCATTTTCATTGCAAAACAAAAAATGTAGGTATTTATTTGAATCTTACAATTACATATTAAATCACAGAGAAATATATTAGATATTCATATCCATCATCATCAAGTAGAAAGACGAAGACTTAATAATAGATAAAAAAAGTAATAAATAAACAAAAAATATAACTAATAAAGGATTGTGAGGCAAGTAATAACTATCCAATCGTCGAAATTCCCTTGGTACTTAGCAAAGGCAACAGAGATTGTCAAATTGGATGAAAACAATTCTTGATTCTGTGACTTTTACATTCACAGTCAAGAAACGAAACTATGTAATGTAACAACCCTCGTAAAGTCTAAATTAATTATGTCTTACGACGTATTATTACGAAGTAACTCGATTAGTTTCAAATCACTCTGTGGGCTTATAGTCAAGTGGTACATTGCGTACCTAACTAGTCGAACTACTTCGTCATATATTTCAAGAGTATGGCGTCGTCCTAATTGGGAGCAATCGTAGGGTGGCGTGATGCGTTCTCGTCGTGCGATGAGTTTAAACATACTTATAGATTTCATCAGAGTGTCCTATTTGAACCTCGCAAATGATAGTGCGAGCACATAAAAACGATCGTTCGATGTATTTGATCGTGCGATCACTTTGTGAATATATATGTTGGTCACTTTATGAATACAATCACTACGTATTCCATTGCAGATGTAGTCGGTTAAATGTTTCTTTCGATATGGATAAATTATCGTAAAAGTCTTCTTCGTTATTTTGTACATCAATATAAAGGTTGAAGAAGTCACCGCGCAGATTCCTGGATTTATAAAGTATTTCATGCTGTCTTCGTTTTTTTTCCAATGTTATTTGCAATTTTTAAAGCAATATTGCCCGACATCAAAAACTTTGCATCTCTGTTAAAGTGGCGCCAGCCATAGTGCGTCGGCATCGCTCGATCTATTAGGACATCTGTTAGGTCATCGTACGACCACTTTGATCGTGCGATCACCTGTTAGGTCATCGTACGACCAAATGATCGTGCGATGAAAAAAGCATCGCGCCATCGTACGACCGCTCCCAATTAGGACGACGCCTGAGCCGTAAAACATAAAAAAATACGAATGTAGATAATATTATATTATGCCTATCACGCAAAAAGCTTTCAGCTATTAAAAACTAATAGTAACCATTTTTTTATTTATTTATTTAATGGCAAGACGTAGAATTATATAAAGCGTCTACAAGATAACCTAATATTGTCTAAGACAAATGCATATAAAGAGATCTATACAGCAAGAGAAAATCATATGTAGAAAAATATCTAATTATTAATCTATTTTTACTAGACGCAAACAATTTGAATGGAAATCCGGACTAAATTCCTATAAAAATATGTCATATAAAATTTATCTCAAATATTTTTGCGTCGAATAAAAATAATTAATTTGTTAAACTTATTGCATGCCGCCTCTACCTACAAAAGATAACGAAATAAATCTACTAGGTAAAATTTAAAAATATTAAATTCAACTAAATTCAAATTCAATTACAATCTACAAATAAATTAATTGCCAAACAAAATAATAGTAATAATAGCAAAGTAAAAAAATGACGTACAAACAAGAACTAACACATGCAATATTTTTGTATTTTATTTTTGTTTAGTTTACTATTTACACATTCGAGCTAAGTCTAGGAATCACTCAAATTCCCTTGAAAAAGAAAATTATATAGAAAAATAAACCTTATTACATAATACATTGTTACACAGCAAAACTTTGTGCTTTGGTTTCATTATTATTAAGATAGCCTTTCACCGATTGGTCCAAAAGAATGACAAAAACAATGCTAAAAATGTAATTTATTTTATTTCTAACTTTTTTTTGAGGGGAAATCACAAAATGACTTCTATCGCCCAGGATATGGCGGGAGGCAGTGTCAGATACTATAGTGACTAAAAACCATCCCGTTTCTTAACCTGCTTCAGGCTGAGGCCACGGTACCTCATTGCGCTTGACCCGCTCCCCGGGCTAATTGCTAAGACCTTAAGGTTCAATTTATTATATGTAGTGCATGCATTTTTGTCATCCCTTTGGTAAATAAAATATATTAGAATGGGGAACCATTTCAACAGTTTATATTATGCGATAGGAATGTTGGAGTAGTAATAATATTATCTTCTGCCAACTTTTGTTAGTTTATCATAAAATTGTCATATACTATGTGCAGCTGTTTGTTATTTTTTATTAGGTTTTTTTAATGATGCTATATACTCTGAAATGGTAAAACAAAATATAAAGTCAATAGGCAGGTAAACAGGGAAATATAAAAACTATATAAAACAATATACATAATAATACAGGGTGTAAAAAGACACTTAACGAAGCCGAAAGCCACGTAGAATACGTGGCTTTCGGCTACCCATTATTTGGATAATTTTTTTCTTAAAGACCATAGCTGGGATTCCACGGGATCTCGAGATATTGAAGGTCAAAGATGTTTTTTTTTTTTTTTGAGCGAATGAATTCTAAGTTTTATTTCAAAAACTTTTTCCAAACAAACATTACCTGAATTTTCGATTTTTCTAAATAAATTACGAATTTGAAGTTACGAACAGTAATGTACGTAATAAATAAATGCAGACCCGCACAAAAAACATCGTGCATCTCAGTAGAATTTTTATTTTACAGAATTGTTTTGTTGTTGCGAAGTAAAACGTCGACCTACGTACTTATCACAGCGTTTTAATGCTAAGCTGTGAAGCTACGCACACAATGACACGAAGCCCGTTTGCTTTACATTGCGCGCAATACAAAAATTCGTTTCCCAGTGATAGTTTTAGCGTAAAGCTACTTAGAACTGCAGTGTGCGTAGTTAACGGCTTCGTTAAGTGTCTTTTTACAACCTGTATATCTAGCGATTTAACTTTCAGCTATCAAAAATAACCTTCGTACGAAAACTACTAAATACGAGAAGAGAAACTTTTTAATCCATGACACTAATATTCCACTAGATTATTTTTACACAACAAATACAACAACAAATAATTAAAATTCGTATAAACTATTACGCTTGCTGGCTGAAATCGGTCTCAATCCAAGATTCACGGATTGGTAGTTTATTTTTCATATTCGGTAGTTTGCATGGTAATTCTACCAAAAATGGATTAAGAGCATTTACGCGGTATGGGTCTTTATAAAAAATGGAATCTACAAAACCGATTTTAATGAAACACGGTACTCTCATACGAAATAATGAACCATTACGAAGATTCCAAAAAATCGTTTAGAGAAACTGAGACATGTATGTATTACTAACTGCACACTTATAATATTTTTTCGAAAACATTAACTCAATTTTAACATCCTGGTACGGAATAATACGTATTCATTAAAATCTGTAAACAGATTTCTCATACCAAAAAGTTTGTGAGAAAACCCATGCTCTAAAATTATTACTTTATTTTGGGCACAAAAAGAATTATAAGTATCCCATAAAATAGTGGAATAATAGCTTTACTTTGAAATATACTTCATGCATGCCAAGGCAGTATCACCTCTGTCTTACCATTAGTACAGAGATACGCCTGCTAAATATTTTTATATAATTACTTATATAAAGGTATGTTTTAGAGATTATTTATACTTAGACTTACCGTCGATAGTTCCGAATTCCCGCTCGTGTGCCCGGGTCAGCACTTGTTTGTATAACGTTTCTGCTTCCTTGTACTTGCCCTGGAATATTTACATCACTTAGTTACGAACTAATTTATTCCAAATGTAATGTATTGTTTCTCAGAATCAGACAAGAGCTAAAAAGTTCTATCACTCTTTGAGGGTCTATCAATACATAGTATTAAACAAACTCGCATTTTGAGTTCCTATATATAGGGTATGTATGTATACTAAATCTTTAAAACTACGCAACGGATTTTATTGCATATTATTTATTTGGAAGGTGTATGTGTATAATAACATCAGCATTGTAACCGTGGGAAGCCGGGGCGGGTAGCTATTATTAAAGTAAAATTAATAAAAATATTGCACGTTTTTAACTTCACAACATCTAAATACAAATAGGGTTCAGAGACAAAATCAATTGTAGTATTTTGAAACTGTGGTCACACTTGCTACCAACAAATTATTTTACACTCTGTTTATAGAGACGCAGTGTTCACTTTTGCTCATTACCTGTTTGAGATAGCAAGAGGCGAGATTGTTCTTGGTCTTGGCTACGTTGGGGTCGTCGGGTCCCAGTTTGCTCTCGTAGATCTCCAGAGCTCGCTGGTAGTACTGCTCCACCTCCTCGTATTTATTCTGCGGATAACGAGTGCATGGTTAAATATACGATACCTGTAAGGAATGCGTACATTCTTTATTTTTGTCGTTAACGTTACACGAATGCAGGGAAAATGAAAGCTTTGAAGGAATTCTGTTAAATAATTTAGCGTATGTTGTATGACTGCACGGTGGGCGCGGTGGCTGGAAAAACTGGCTGCCACGCAACGTGTCACCCTTTCGATTCCCGCACGGAACAACTCGTTTGTGTGATCCACTAATTGGTGTTCCGGGTCTGGGCGTAGTGTGTATGTGAAATTGTTTATTTGTAAGCGCACCCACTACACACAAGAAAATCTTAGTGTACGTCTTTTTTACAAAAATAAAGTATATTCGCAACTAGACTTCCTAAAGAGTACGAGTACTTATGAGGCTCTTGAGGTGAGGCACTTCCACTGAAGAAATTCAACATAATTTTATTTTTACTAACAATTGTTTTTACACTAGTAGACTATAGACAAACGGGACCACATATGAATGCTACATTAGCGCCATTTGATGAAAAACATTAATTTAAGCTTTTGATTCAGCCGGGATTGCGGGGCAAGCGCGATAAGGCACCGCGGCCTCGGCCTAAAGCTTAATTGCTAGCTTGTTTTTAGTCAGTAACAGCCTGACACTCCCCGCCTCACCCTGGATGGGAGAAGTCATTTGATGATTTTCCCACCACAAAAAGCTCTTGATGAGATATATTGTGTGTGGTACCTGGTTCTGGCAGAGCAGTGCGAGGTTGTTGAGTTGCTTGGCGACGTCAGGATGGTCCCTGCCCAGCACGGCCTCGCGGATGCACAGCGCGCGCTTACACAGCGGCTCCGCTTCACGGTACTTGCCTGCATATAACCAACAAAATACATTAATATACGACGATTATCAATTTTACAGTGTCGTGGAGAAATGTGCACGAATGGGTTCACTCGACCGGAGTGATACCACGGCCTCACAGAAAATCACAGCGTTATGTTTCGCCGTGTGTGTGAGGTTACCGGAGGCCCAATCCTTCTCCTCCCCCAATCCCTAATCCCTAATATGGCGGCAAAACACTCGTAACTCCTCCGTTGCAGGTGTCCATGGGCGGCGGTGATTGCTTACCATCAGCTAATCCGTCAGCAAAAAAAAAAATGGGCTTATTCCACTTTTCCCCGTTGGATGATCCCCATTGATGGGGATTAGTGAACTTTTTGTTCACTATTCCCCGTTGACCCAAAATTTTTATTTAATGGGGATAAGTGAACTAAAAAGTTCAATAATCCCCATTAGGTAGGTACGTTAAAAAAATAAAATATATGAATCATGTTACATTTATTAATTAAAAATATAACTTTCTTATACCTAATAAAATCACAGATTGTACAATTATTAATTTAAAATAAAAAATGTAACTTTCTTATACCTTGTAAAATCAAAGATTACAATCACTTAAGTTTTTCTAATTAGGTACGTTAAATAAAAACAATATAAAAATAAAATATATGAGTCATGTACTTTTATTTTTATAAGGTAAGAACAAAATTTTAAATTACCTACATACCTACTTTACGATTTTATTAGAACGAAAAACAGATTGTTGCCCCAACGAAATTGTTCTAACGATGTTGGGGAATAAGACCTTATATCTATCTATCTAATAAGATATACAATACTGTAAAAGATGCTCATTTTCTAGAGGCGCGCGCGCAAGGCGGTGGCGGAGCGGGGTGCGAGTTAGCTCGTATGTGATTGGTCGACCCATCTTTTGTTTTTGTTTCGTAGTCGTTAAGGGTTAGTAGTGTGTAGTGTAGTTCAAGCGTGCAGTTCTTATCAGTTCGCAGTTATTAGTTTAATATAGGAATAAATAAAGGAAATGGCTGGTAGTTCAACTGACGTTTGTTTAGAGTACGTTAAAAAAGGTGAAGCTACCATACTTCTCCGGGCCGGACATCAATACAGTAAAAAATGCAAATATAAAAATGGTGGAGTTTTGTGGGAGTGTACCACAAGAAAACAAAGTAAATGTGCCGGATCCATCACTGTCATGGTAAGTTACTTATTATATTTTGTGATTAATAATGACAATAATAACTCAGGTTATGTGTGTTATCAATATCACGTTTATCAATATCAAAATTTTAAAATCAACGTTAAAGTTTAAACACTGTTTCTGTCATGGCGGCACGTGTGACGTCATTCTTTTGTCAAACAAGTCTATTACACCTAGTGTAAAAGAGTGTAGCTGAAGTGAATTGTATATATTTAATTATTATTACATATTTTAGTTAAGCATAAAGTGAAATATGTTTTGTTGAACTATTCTGATAGGATAACAACAATTTGTTATAAGTTTTAAAGGTTGTTAAATAGCCTATTCAATTTTGTATTCTATGTAAGTGCAATATTGTTTACTTAAAAAATAATGTAAAGTAATTAATTATTATTACTTAATTTTACAGGACAATCAAGTTGTAGCTGAGAAACGACACAATGTTTGTGAACCTGATTTTGCGCGAAATGAAGTTACCTTGAGGTTATTCAAACTAAAAACTACACTTGCGGATCCAGAAGCACCTGCTATTCCCACTGCTTACAACGCGGCTGTGAGCTCACTAAAAGATACCGGAATTGACAAAATAAAAGAATTCCCTGCCCTGAAGTCTATCAAAACAACATTATATAAACACAGAAATGCAGCATTTGAAGTAAGTAAAATTGAGTTCAAAAATGTTGAAGAAGTTAAAGTACCTCCAGCTCATCAGGAATTTATTTTAGCAGACTACAATGACAGTGGTATCCGTGTAATAGCTTTTTGCACTGAATTTGCCCGACATCAAATGAAAAATTTGAAGATGTTCTTGGGTGATGGAACGTTTTGGATCTGTCCATCTCCCTTTTACCAACTCTACACCATTCATGGGGATTTGGGCAGTACAGAAAAACACATAAACATTGTGCCACTTGTTTATGCCCTCATGAGCCATAAAAATCAACAAACATATGAAATTTTATTTAGTATCCTAAAATCTGCATTACCTGATTGGAATCCAGAAATATTTAAATGTGACTATGAAGTGGCTCCGATGAACGCAATGCGAAATGTTTTTGTAAATATATCTATTAGCGGCTGTTATTTCCATTTCACCCAGGCAATATGGAAGAAAGGAAAACAACTCAAACTAACAAAAGATAAATTAACCAGAAGACAAGTTGCACTTAGCACTGCTTTGGCTTTGTTACCATCAGATAAAATCATTGCGGGTTGGTTTTATGTTGCCTCTCAAAGCCCTGATGATGATAATAGCAAGGAGTTTAGAAATTACATGCTCAGACAATGGCTACAAGATGATTTTATTAAAACGTGGTGTGTATTTGGACAGACTCATCGCACTACGAATTTAGTCGAAGCATGGAATAATAAAATAAAAAAGCGTGTGAAAATAAAGAAACCCAACATTATGAAGCTCCTCACAGCGTTGGCTGAAGATGCATCGTATTACGAAGTTCTTGCATTGGGGGTTTCTGAAAATAAAGGTATAGCGGAAAAAACAAAAAAAAGCATCAATCGCGATAATTATATACAGGAGGTCCAAATGGAACTCATTAATAATGAAATTACGATTGGGCACTGTTTAGAAAAACTTAAGTGAGTGTAATCTTTGATTTTACAAGGTATAAGAAAGAAATATGTTCATGCTACAATTTTAAATTAATGATTGTAACAATCTGTGATTTTACTAGGTATAAGAAAGTTATATTTTTTATTTTAAATTAATAATTGTACAATCTGTGATTTTACTAGGTATAGGTTTTAAATTAATAATTGTACAATCTGTGATTTTACTAGGTATAAGAAAGTTATATTTTTTATTTTAAATTAATAATTGTACAATCTGTGATTTTACAAGGTATAAGAAAGTTACATTTTTTATTTTTAATTAATAATTGTACAATCTGTGATTTTATTAGGTATAAGAAAGTTATATTTTTAATTAATAAATGTAACATGATTCATATATTTTATTTTTTTAACGTACCTACCTAATGGGGATTATTGAACTTTTTAGTTCACTTATCCCCATTAAATAAAAATTTTGGGTCAACGGGGAATAGTGAACAAAAAGTTCACTAATCCCCATCAATGGGGATCATCCAACGGGGAAAAGTGGAATAAGCCAAAAAATGCACTTTCAGCGCCATCTGAGCAGACTGATTTGTGAATCTAAAACATCCAGGGCGCCACTCAAACGCATACAGAAAAAATGATTTAAATCGATCAAGCCCTTTAGGAGGAGTTCAATGACATACAAACGTACAGCAGAATTACATATAGAAGATATAATATTATGTTAACATGAAACGCGAAAGTTTAAAAGTTAGTATAGCTTTTGATTCTGTATGCAGATACTGACCTCGCTTGCCGTATAGCACGGCGAGGTTGTTGAGCGTGGCTGCGACGGCGGGGTGGTTCTCTCCCAGCGTCTTCTCACGGATGGACAGCGCGTCGTTCAGCAGATTGGCCGCCTCCTTGTACTTGTTCTGGTCTCTGAAGACGAAAATAAGTACGAAATTAGAATTGATACTTGCTAGTCGCAAGCAATTTCACCCACTGCTCAGCTCCTACAGATCATAGCGAGATGTTTTATAGCCTATAGCCTTCCTCGATAAATGGACTAACAAACACAAAAAGAATTGTTCAATTCGAACCAGTAATTCCTGAGATTAGCGCGTTCAAACTCTTCAGCTTTATAATAATATAGTATAGACGATAAAGGGCTCTTTCTAAAGAAATATTCAATGATTTTTTAAAACCTTCTAGTATTCTAGTTTGACGACGTTAACATGTCTACTTTGTAAGATTCAACACCAATCATCGATTTCAAATTCAGACGAAAATTGTTGCCTTTAATATCAAAAACTGTCAGTTAGGTAAAACGATAAAAAACATCAAATAGGAAAATATAATTTTTCCTCATTTCTAAGATCAAGCTCAGATGTACCTCCTGCTTATTTATTATTAGCCAATCACAATATCTTCGATAAGTTTCGTGATCCCTGATTGTGTGTGATTACTTCATCGCGAGTTGAATAAACTGATAAGGTTATCGTGAAGGTACAGTCAACCTGTGACTACACTTTAAGTGTTTACCCGTAATAAGTTATTTTGATTAAGTAAAGTAACTTGACGAGCTTATCATATAAATCTCTCTATTTTCTGTAAGGGTCTTGCTTGAGGGTGGCGCAAGGGCAAAACTAGAGGCTAAGGGGATGGCCAATTTTTGTCCTAGTGCAAAGTTTGTTTACAAACATTTACTAAACATCAATATCAAAATTTACTAATTATTATTATTACGTTATCACTTATATTCACTGTGAATTAATTAATATTTATAATCCTGAATTATTGTCTAACTTTAAATCTAATTGAATATTTTTTGACATCCTATATTTAGTTTATTTGTATCTTGTTTTAATTTCGTAAATTAAGATATTTTTCATAATGTATTTTAATTTTTGTGCGAATATTGTGCACATCTATTATTGACACCAACACTAAAATAAGACCTATAAAATGTAAAATAACCATGTTTGTGTCTGTGTTGTTGATGTGCCTTAAATAAATAAACAAATTGTCTTACATGCCTGCAACTATCTAACTTTATGGCGTTAATTTATACTACAAAGGCCCTTACCTGTAGACAAGTGCGAGTATATTGAGCATCGTGGCGACATCAGGATGGTCGTGTCCAGAGGTCTTCTCGAGGTCCTCGAGGGCCTGCTTGCAGAGTGGCACGGCGACCTCGTACCGTCCCTGCGACGCGTACTGGATGACCAGGTTGTGCAGTGTGCGCAGGCGGGCCGGGATCTCGTAGCCCGCGTTCACCTGCTGCGCAAAGTGCAGCGGAGGCGTCGGGGACATCGCTGCAATACAACATATTTTTGTTTAATATATGTATTTTTGTATTATCTATACTATATCATTATAAAGCTGTAGTGTTGGTTTGTTTGATTGCGCTAATCTCCGGACCTACTGGTGCGATTTGAATGATTATTTTTGTGTTTGTTAGTCCATTTACCAGGGGAGGCTATAGGCTATAAAACATTACGCTGCCATCAGTAGGAGCCGCGCAGAGGGTGGAACCGCGCGAGAATAGCTAGTGTAGTTATATGATCTAAGACAATGTGTATTTCTATACGTCACACAAGAGAAGAGAAGGAGAAAAATGTTAATTTCAAAACACATCTAATTGGGTAGTTTCCTAGGTCAAAAATAAATTAACTCGACGTTTCAATACAATAAAGTATTGAAAAATAACTATACTTTTATTCATCGATCGATCGATACACTAATAGACATTTATCAACTAATTATTAAGAATAAGCTATATAAGTAAACTATTTGACGCCAAAATACTATGACGTCATAACTCAGTTTTTCATTCAAATTTCATAGAAAAGCATCGTTTTTGACACTTGGATAAAAGTAGTGAATTTGACTAGTTGGAAACTACCATATTCCTCTATGCTTTGTTATTAAGAAATTACAACTACCTTAATTATGCTTTCTACAGGTTGTACTGTACAACCTGTAGAAAGCATAATTCTTTAATAAATTCTTCAATACTATTGTAACAATAGTATTGAAGAATTTATTGTTACAATTTCGAATTTTATTTACAAATACAAACGGAACAATATAAAGTAGAAAACCAAAGCTAGCGATGGCTTTTTATGGGGAGAGATTTATACACACATTACACAACCTTCTTCGAGATTTGTGCGCTAAAACAAACTCTAATTTTACACTAATGGTACATATACAATTTACTTATAAAGTTGTCAAAAATCTAACGTCGTGGTGACCCAGAGGCTAAGGTGCGACTTTAAAACATGGCAAGTACCAATATGACTTTTTCCAAGTCATATCTACTTTCTACGATTATTTAGACACCACTGACATCCGGTGAAGATATTGAATATATAGAAGACATTGTTGGCTGGACTTATAATTTCTAGTTATAAGTTTGAAATCGCGAAACCCCCTTGAGCAAGCGTGTTAATTAATGCCCAAACCTTCTCCTTGTAAAAAGAGACCTTTGCTCACCAGTGGGCACTTATAGGCTGATTATGTGATGTGTGTCAAACATCCGATTTTTATCTAAAAGGTGTCTGATTAAGTTTCTTTTTTAATTTCGGTCGTTAGTGAACACAGAGAAGATTACTCACATTTGTTATTCCTGTTATCATCATGGTCGTCATCTGGGAACAGGTCAACCATGGGATCGTCGCGTTTCTTTTCACTCTGCCCGCTGCGGTTCGTGTCCGACTCCTCCGTAATATCACTGTCATATTTGCTGGAAACAACAATAAGAAACTTAAGTTAAAAATACTCATTTAGGGAATAGAGAGACCTTAAGAGGCTGACGTTAGGCAGGCTCAGGCCTCCTACAACGGGCAGTCCTCCTTGAAACGGCACGTATTGTGAGGAGATTTCGGTCTCTGGAAGTACCTTAATTTCGGAAAAGTAGGATGCTTCGGCCAGGCGATGTGATCGTGCCTGGCGGGCTACTACTACCCGACGGTTTTTATCGAGATTTTGTACTTGTTCTAAATGCGCTGAAAACTTTTATACCGCGATGTATGGTCTGAATGGCCAACACATTACACTCAAAGAAACAAGTTATTTTTTAGGCCTCTAATAAAGGAAACTTCTAACAACAAAATAAATGCAGATACTAACAATAACAACCAAAAGTAATAACCCGCTTTAATATTCTTTTAAATAACTTTTCAGTTAATGTTATAGAAAATAAATCTAAACAAAAAATAAAAGCATTATTTCATAGACCAAACATTCAGAGTTTTGACAACACCCCCTTTTAAATGAAACCAAGTAACGAGACCGCGAAATGATGTGGTTTCATATTTTTTACACGCCAGCCTAAATGGGAAAACGGATTTTCAGTTTGGCGCACGGCCAATCCTAAATTGTTTTTACGATTCTTACGGAGTATGAAAAGTATTTAATCGTAATGCTTATTGTTAAAAGGTTAATGAACTGGGTGTTTATAACAGTCTGTTTAAATCAATCGCCGAAAAGTTAGCCTCTTTCGCTTTACTTAATAAACATCCGTACATAGTTTACATAAAACAAAGTTGTTTTTCTGTCCCTATATCCATATGTATGCTTAAATCTTTAAAATACGCAACAGATTTTGATGTGTTTTTTTTATTACATAGAGTTATCAAAGAGGAAGGTTTATATACAAGTAGTGGACAGTTCATAATCAGCGTTGCACCCGTGCGAAGCTAATGCGGGTCGTTAGTTTAACATAGAACTGATTATAAAGAAAGTTTGCATTTTAAGTAAACCAAGAGCAATTCTGACGAGGATAACCATATAAGAAAAAAAATAGGTATTTTAGTAGCAAACTTCAATGTGTCAGGTTTAAAAAGTAAGAAATCAAAGAGTGTTTATATGGCAACAGCAAGCTGCAGTTCCGACCTTCTTGCATGTAAGCAAAAAAAAGTACTGAAAACATTTTTGCAGAATCTTTAAATGCAAATCGTACAAAACAGAGGAATATGTATGTCAGAAAAAGGAGAAAGCCTAGCAGCAAATGAGGCGGAGTTGAAATGTTTATTTTATTTAATAGGTAGGTACAGATAACAGATTAAGGATTACATATTATTATCATGTTAAGCATACACATTGTATAAAACTGAGGTCCAATTATAACTGTACACAGCATTTAACAGTTCAATAGCTTCACTTTTATGAAAAGAAATCAAAAAACAAAAGAAAATTTGTACGACGACTTTAGGTCTATTGTATTTATATATTTATAGTGTGAGGTATCTATATTTTTTGCGAAGCTGTTTTAAAATTATTGAGAGTAACATGAACAATATCCATTCGAGAGCATATCAATCCTTCCCCACCCCAATGCCTAAATCTCCAAATCCCTATAGCCTAAAACTTCGGCAACGCACTCGCAACTCCTCTGTTGCGGGTGTCCATGGGCGGCGCTGATTGCTTACCTTTAGGTAATCAGACTGCTCGTTTACCGATTTATTACATTAAAAATATAGCTTTATATTGTTTGTTAATGCTTAGTTCTTTACCGTATGGAAGCCATGAAGTCAAGGTGTTTATTTTCCTCCTCAAGCTGCGCCACGCGTTGCTCGGAGGCCTGCAGATGTTGCTGCGCGGCCGCCAGCTCGTCCCGGAGCCACGCGTTCTCCTGGCACAGCCGTCGCACCTGAGTGCGAAGCTTCTGCTTCTCAGCCTCCACTGACTGTAAGTGGGAGGCTAACGCCATCATTACCTGAAATAGAAGAGTTTGATAAGAATTACCTAAAGTGGAATACAATTTTTTTTCATGTAGTAGGCCGACAAATGAGCACACGGATTACATGATGTTAAGCAATCAGACCAGCCCAGGGACACCCGCAACAGAGGAGTTACGAGTGCGTTGCCGAACTTTTGGGGATTAGGGATTGGGTGAAGGGAAGGATTGGGCTTCGGTAACCTCGCTCACACCGCGAAACACAACGTTGCGGTTGTTTCACGCCGGTTTTCTGTGAGGTAGTATTATTCCGGTCGAACCGACACATGGCTCTCCCACACTTAAAATACTTCAAATATAATGTAAATGATTTTAACACGTTACACTTTTAAGTCTAACAAATAAAAATGTATTGACAACGTAGGATTTCTTTGTGTAAATGATGACCATTTCATTCATGAATCCCTAATCCCTCTTAACGGAGAAGTTTAAGTAATTTGATCGCTGTTGTTGTCTTAAACCTTACGACCACTAAGTAACCAACTATATCAAGGTACTTTTATTAGATAGTTCAAGTAAGCGTAAACATAAGTATCAAAGAGTATACGCGACTTTACTCACAGTCTAACCATTAGTAGGGGGTAAATCTGTACAAACTTTTGCACTCATAAATCGCTTTCATTCCCTCAGACAAGCTTTATTTATACACATTTTTTTCTAAAGAGTGAGTTTTTCATTAGTAGGGGGATATACGAGGTAAGTGCAGAGGGAAGAGGGAGGGAGGTAATCCAGACGTAAATAAACTTTTGCTGATTAATGAGAGTCGTTAGTCGTACTGTCTCGTCGCTGTTGTCGACATTTTAAATTATAGCAAGTTTCAAATTTAATGTACGCAGGTAGGCCTATTAATTGTACATATTTGTTTATAATGTTAATATTAAAATTACTCGTTTTGAAACGTTATAATAACCTTGAACATATTTTTTCCTTTTTGGGTTTCACTAGGTATTAATTAAAAGTAGATCATATTTTTTGTAACTTTTTCGTAGGTGTTATTTTCTTTTAAAAAGAAATTGAAAACTAGTAGTTACATAAAATATTCACATCAAATAGCATTTTTGCAGATGAACACAAAACTGACGACTGTCGCCACCCCAAGGCTGAACGTCGTCTCGTCATGTCTGCATCCCTTTGTGCAGAAAACAAACATACACGTTCCCACGTCCATCAGCTGTTTTGTTATGTACGTGTGTCAGCTTGTGGTACAATTGTACAAATACCGATAGGGAATCACAATAAAATAAAAACGATGTGATTAAATAAGTACATTATGTATTTTGAATCAGAATTTTACAATAATTTGTCCATCTGGTCGCAATGAACTAAAGAACTACTGAACGGATATTAAAGTGTTATAAGTAGTGCATAGTAATGCCTGAGGAAGATCTGAGAAAGCGCTTGACGAACGGGAACGGGCGGTAAAGCCAGGGGCTATAGTGAAAAATGAAATAATTGAATAACCGAATCAGCCATAGAAAATATTGTATAAAGTTCTTTTTTTTTCTTTTTCCTATACGAAAAAAACGTGTTCCACACACAATTACTAAGTTAGACAGCACATAAGTAACTTACTTATTTAGGGGGACAAACTTTTTCTTTCTCAGCTACTCAAATATGTCAGGCCTGAAATACTTGAAATTGATCATGTCAATTTCAAAGTACGTTAAAGTTATTGGGGAGCTTTTATCTAATGTCAACAAAAACATAAGCATATTGAAGCAGAAATATGGATGAAATAATCATTAGTTAGGCACACCTTCATTTGAGTGGTAATTTTAAAAAGGCATAATAAATATATGTATTCTTTTTTTACTACATTATTTTTCCCAAATAACACCGATCAATGAGAATTATATTGAATGTTCCTGAATATCACGAAATGAATCCGCTGTCATCTTTATACTTGTTCTACCCTCTCGACGTACTCCAACGTAGAAATCTCGACGTCGTCGTCAACCTCACAAGAGGGTGTCGCGTGCCTTTGTGGCTGAATGGAGTACCGCCCCGTAATTCACTCACGCAACTTAATTTTTACTCTGTGGCGGTTTTTGAAAAATGTCAGACATAAATGGCGGGAACTGAGGCAACATGGCGTCTGTTTAAAGGTTAATGCGGGTTATTTATGGAATGCGTTAAATGGAATTAGGTACTGTAGCGGATGAGGCGTGGAACTTCAATTTTTCTGTTCAATCGTAGCTACCTAGCCTGTTTTGTTACACAAGCCATACAAAAGAAATCCGTATAGAACGCAGTCGGAATTGTTTGGTAGAGATCGCTGATAGGAATAAAGCTGTCTATTGTGTAATGTATTTTCTATTAATCTCTATTTTTTTTATGTACAATAATATGAAGATGTTGTTTGGGAGACGAGAGGTTATATTTTACTTGAACTTTTTTTGCATAATAGGGTTATATAAGGCCATGAAATAAGTAATAGCAATAGGAAAAAAAGTTTTATTAAACTTATTTTTAAAATGGAAGTGTCTTTCAATTATTTAATCAAATATTTTACGGGTTACAATCAAAGTGAATACAAATATTTGGTAACAAAACTCCTTCTAGAACAAAGTTGGTTGTATTTGGAATTCAATTAAGAGGCAATGAACTTTTACAACTGAATTAAGAAATGTGAAAGTTAAAAGTAACTTCTTTGCAAACAATGATGTTTTTTTATTTATTGATTATATATTTGTTATTTGATTTCCAGGCTTTATTTCAAGGTACTGCAATCTTTTTTGTCAATAAGTTAGATGTAATAGAAGGTTAATTATAGTAATTTGGGAATCAAATTTATTTTACGGCCTTTATTTGTACCTAGTCCAAAAAAAACTGTCAAGGCTCTTTATTGACAGAAAATATTTCTTACATCTGAATATTTATTTATCTTACGTATAAATACATATGTTTTTTTTTGTGAGGGGAAAATCATCAAATGACTTCTCCCGCCCAGGGCCGGGCAGGAGGGAGTGTCAGGCTCTTACTGACTAAAAACCCCCCTGTTCCTTCTCCTGCTCTGTGCCGAGGTCGCGGTACCTCATTGCGCTTACCCCGCAACCCCGGCTATAAATACATATGTTATAAACTACAAAAACACCACAAAGTACAAAATGTTTCCTTTACGACCAAAATCAGGGAAACAAAAAAAAACTATCTTTCAAAAAAAATTGAATTAAAAAAACGTTAAAAGCAAACTCTGTGAAAGCGCTCTTCGACATTGTGGTTCTAAACTTTCCTTTTATACGTTACGAACTTTAGTTTACACAGTAGAGCCCTCCAGGCTGGCTAGGTGACCTAAATGATGTTCTAACGGGGAGTCCTTAAAGGCATTCAGGGAATCTAGGCTACCCAGGGGCTGTTTGTTTTAAATCTCTTAGAAGACAGCCTTTTCATTTATATGGATTTTTCAAAGCCAAGCCGTTCAATGACTGAATTCTTGACCTCTTTTCCATAAAAAATTGGAGATAAAAGCAAACATTTTATCAAAAGAAAATTTGAAGCGAACATTCCAGAAATATGTTACTTATTTAAAATTTTCAAAAGAAATTTCACAATTTTTTTCTAAGAAACATATCTTTCGGAGAAAATGCGAATAGAATATTTACTTTTAGTTACTTTGTTACTAAGCTAACGTTTGATCAATAGTTCTTCACCTCAAGCTTAGCGTGCAGAGCCTTAGCTACATTAAGCGTGTCGCTTATCTAGATAAACGTTAGCAATTCTCACAAAGAACTAATTAGAGGGATTTCTTGTAAACATTAATTACCGTACGTTGACTTGTTAGGTTCGAAGTTCAGGCTTGAAATGTTATCTCTTCTAGTATATATTATATTTATCACGCGTCAGTATGTAACGGCATCCGTTGCTCAGATGTACCACAAACCGCAAGGACCTCATGCCATGCAAAAACATGTGGTGAGATCTGAATCCTGAACGATCACGTTAGTTTGCACGTGGAATTTTCGCGTGTTAATGTTTTAATGAAGCTATCTATACTTCTATGCTCATATCTATACTTCTATACTAATATTCTAAAGAGGTAAAATTTGTAAGTTTGTATGTAGTGGGTAATCTTTGGAACCGCTGGTCGGATTGCCAAAATTCTTTCACTGATAGATAGCTACAATGTTCCTGAGTGCTATAGACTATTAAACATCACGATTAAATGGAGCCGAGCAGCGGGTGAAATCGCGCGAGAGTAGTTAGTACCCAATAAATTTAATTTCGCAGATTTTTTACCTTAGCAATTTACACTTAAGGTTGAAAATCGATTAAAGAATTTTGGCGTAACTTGATTTACTGACAGAACTTATTTGTTAAGCAGATGTATGTTGAGCGAATGGCACGAACAATGCATATTTCGCTTACGAACTCAGTACAAAGGATTTGAACAGGTCTTGCCGCAACCCACACAACGGAAAACGCAATAAAAACAAAGCTTGTATTTGGTTACGGTTAAATGAATTGCAAATATCGGTATTTAGCACGGAATCAGCAGCAATGGGTTAAAGATGAATAATATCCTTCACTGAAGTCGATTTATCAATAACTGAGAATCGTGCAAAGAGTTTATTTTGAAGAAAGTTGAAGTTCGATATTTCCAAATGTTATTTGTTTAACTTAAACGTTGTTAGTGGCGATTACTTAAGCTTAACGATGTTAACGTCATCTCCTTAAAAGGCACTTCGAACAAAAGTAGACAGACATTAGGCTTATCTGAAAGCTGTTACCGTGCCAAATATAGGCACTCCACCCTATGTGCAGATTTGGCCGAGATAAAAAGCGAAGATTGGGTATACGCGAAAGAGGTTGCTACTTGAAGAAGGTAAAATATAGGTAGACGTATGCTATAATGCGTTTAGATGCTGTTAAAGCTTTAAGATTAGGTTTGTACCAAAAATATAGACCGTGTTTTTGTACACTATCATTTCTCAAATTCAGCCAGGGTTGCGGGGCAAGCTCAATGAGTCACCGCCACCTCGGCCCGGAGCAGAAGAAGGTACGGGGGGTTTTTATTCAGTAAGAGTCTGACACTCCCTCCCACCCGACGCGGGGCGGGAGAACTCATCTGATGATTTCACCCTCAAAAAAAACTTGTCTCAAAATGAGCACTGAAACTAACCTGCGCTTCACCCAGTCCGAGTTCTATAGCATCAATGCTCTTCCTCACGAGGGCTGCCTTCTCGTGTTCATGTTCTGTGTTGGCAGCCAGCCCTGCCAGCAGCTGTGCGTGTTCAGCTCGCAGCGCCTCGAGGCCCGCGGCGACGGTGCGCGCACCGGCCACCATTTCCTCCTGCGTCATCGCCGTCATCCTGCCTAGGGATTCGATCTTCTTTCTGTGGACAAACAAGAGTACCATTAGAACGAATGATGACAAAAAAAGAATGCCATCGAAATATGACAAGAGTATTTGTCAATCTTTATAAGTAGCAACTTTCTATGATAAATCTCCACATGTTGTATTGCCGTGTTAAATTACAAGGCTAGTCCAGCGTTGTGTAATGATGGCCAAAACTCAAATGTGTACAAACTTAAACAAAGTCCCTGATTACTAGCATAGAAAGAACTTTTCTAATAAATATTAAGGTATTCCAAAGATTTACCTCACCGTTCCGCACAAGTCATAAAAGCAATAAAAATATTGAATTAAATAGGTTCATTATGATCAGGTTTGCGCTACGCTATCAAGCAAGAAACACATGAACTGGTATCATTTGCGTTTGTTTATGGCTGTTTGTTCTCATTTCAATAGAACTGTACCATTATGACCAGTTACTCGATACTTCATATCAGCTTCTATAGGTTAATTCTGTTGAACAATGACATTGCATGAAATGATTATGTAAATGAAGACTAATGTCTCAATGGCTGATTCAATCAGAATGCGACCATATTGACCTTATTCAATCTTGGGCGACATTGTGGCAGTTTGCTGACATAATGTGATTGGGATACGTGTTATAAAGACAGAGTATTTTGTCTTGCTTTATCCAAACTAATATTCATCATCATCATCATCATCATCATCATCAGCCTGTTGTCGTTCACTGCTGGACATAGGCCTCCCCAATTGCACGCCCTCGCCATATTGCATAAACTAATATTATAAATGCGAAAGTAACTCTGTCTGTCTTTTCTTCACGTCTAAACTATTGAACCGATTTCTGTGAAATTTTGTACAGACATAGTTTGGAACTCGAGAAAGGACGTAGGGTAGATTTTTAACCAAAACTCTGTAGAAAGTCACTATTCCAAGCGAACGGAATCGCGAGCAAAAGGTAGTTTACAAATAAAGAAACGTACAGTCTGAGTGAACTCAGGCGATTCGTTTAATGATAAATCGGAACCTATCTAGTAAATGTAGTAATGATAGTATAGTCCACTCGGGTATGAATGCATATTGTAGTTCCTGTATTACGAGGACATCATGCACAACGGAACCAATCCAATCACAACGCCGTGCGAATGACGCCATGTTAATTTACATGCAAAACGTTTCTCTTCACTCCATCACTTTTTAATACGAATCAAGTTCATTTTTAATGGGATTGGTCGGCAAACGCGCTGACAGATTATCTAATGGTAGTGTTGATGGTGAGGAGTTACAAATGCGTTGCCAACCTTTTGGGGATTAGGAATTTGAAGATTTAGGGGAAGAGAAGGATTGGGCCTCCGGTAACCTCACTCACACGGCGATACACAACACTGTGGTTGTTTCACGTCGGTTTTCTTTGAGGCCGTAGTGTCAATCCGGTCGCGCCGTCCCATTCGTGCCGAAGCACGGCTCTCCCACACTTAAATATGTACGTGTATATCTTTATACATATGTAACCTAAAAATCAATGTTCAATTTCGTATTGCGCACTTTCTAACAAGACAATAGATGACGTAGGTAGGTAGCAGCGGAGGGACATAAAACCAATATTTCAAAAGGGGATCTCTGAATCCTTTTTTATCAACCCCTTTTAATAAGGTAGGAGCGTGGGTGGATGTTCGGCGCAAAAATTTTATAAAAATAAACATTTTGTGTTTTGTATTTCACTGTTATCTATATGGAACAGACGTTTTATAGCTTTGAAGTAAACAGATTACAGTATGTTACCTAAACCTGTCTTATGAATGATATATTTTGATATGATCGGAACGCTTCTTTAAGATAATCTCAATGTTTAGCTTGAGTAATCTCCGTTGATTCTAATCATTGGAATGGAATAGGTTTGATACATGTTGTGAGTAAATCCACATATATTGAACTTGGCAGGAATCGATGACAATATTTTAGTAAGGAGAGGTTTTTCTTAAACGGTTTTTTTTTGCCCGTGTGGCAGGATTCAGTTTTCACTAAACACTGACTTACGTGTTCCAAAAAAAAAAAACAAAATTTAACAAATAAATTTCAGAGGTGTATATAACCTCAACCTCTTCTCTCGCTACACTTATTTAATTAAAGACCCGACTGTGCATATTTAAACTCTACAACAAAGTCGACACTGTGTGGCTTGCGGTGACCTTTTATGACATTCTATTGATTTTATACTAAAAATAGTTCTTTAACTTACATAACTAACAACAGCTTTGTGAGCTAGTTACTGTGTTATTAAAGCTATTTTAAAGTACTCAAAATACAAGAATAGTGATATTTGTCATCGATAGTAATGATCGGGGTTGTGTGGATAGCGGTCATGGATCTGAGTCTAGAATACGATAATTAGACTTTACTTAGTAACTTTATATAGGTATGTTCTTATTAATGATTCACTTTTTCGCTCAATATTGGTTTAGAAATCTATTTAGGTAGCCTTATTTGGGCTATTAACAGTAACGTTTGAAAACATCGATCGCCGCACGTAAGTTTATCGTAGTTTCGGTATGTCCTAGATAGCGAAACACATCTATTGTTCGCGACGCAGCTCAGACCAAGTTTGAAAACCTAATTTATACGATATTGAGCTTACAGCTGTAGAAAGTTAGAAATTCATACCTATTAACAACGACTTTATCTCAAAATTGATGATATATGTTTACTAGTTATGTTATTGATGTAAACTATTTTTAACAAGAAGTAAATAGTAACGCTGGCTATATTTAGTAAGAATGGAAGTATTAAACTTTCCAAGACCACTTATTAAAATACTCTAGCAATTTAGCCCTTCACTCAAACGTTAAATACTTTCGACAAACCACGAGGGCATCATAACCGGCGGTATCGCAACGGAAGAGTCACATTACCGCGCCCACTTTCGACACGGCTGCCAAACGCAATGGGCACGCAGACCTGGATGTGACGACAGAAGGGTAGGCCATACGGAACAATACGTGAGAAGCAGACCAATACGAACAACAGGAACCAGCTTTCGGGGAATGAATGAGATCCGCTTGAACAATCGCGAAATAGTGACCCGTTTGTCGACATCGATCGATACCCGCGCACTGTAAAATGCATAATAAGAACATTTTCGATCGGATTACATAAAAAGTTATCGTTTCGCAGATCCCGAGGGGAAACGTATTAATTTTATTTATGAGCCTGTGAGTAAAATTGTTTTGGTACTTACTACTGATACAATTTCGCAGTTCATTGACGATGTAATCCAGCGAGAGCTACATGGGAAATCGATCTAAATACGTTACTCCAAGGAGATGAATTTACTTTTATCTACAAATCGTTGACTAAATAAAAATAAAATACCTTCTGCTTTATTCATATCGTGCCTAGAATACAGCTAGAGAGACGGCGCAACTATTCGATAATGTTACTTTTTCTTTAGATTGAAAATACTGAGTGACATTTGAAGGCCCGTTTCCGAGCAGCGGAGACGAGACGATTACGTCACGAAATATATTTTTAATAGAACACGAGTTGGAGCCTGGAGCAAGAGTCCACCATAAGCGTATCACCATTTACGGAGAATTACTATGAGGGAACGGAGTACCCCATATTTTTCTGTTCAAGTTTAAGGCTTAAGGATTTTAACGCGAGCACGTAGAGGCCGTAAAGTTTCCTTATTTCACACAAGGCGCCATTTTCAGTAAAACTCGGAGTATAGGGTTATGCAGCGTACACCAAGTCACCAGACAGTATAGCTTAGCTTGAACTGTGATTAATTTAGCCAGCATACCAGTTAATAGAGATTATGGATTATAGATAAAAATGAATTTTATTACATAAATAAAAGCCCGAATAGAGATCGGCATTAAATATATCTTGTTTTTTTTTTTTAAAGCGCTTCGTAACCTGAATTTTCTTGAACATTATTCTCACTACTGAATTACTTCAAAGCTTTGTAGAAACGAAACCCCAAAGAACAAGTTATACTTTAAAACAATACAGTCGGGGAAACAACGTTCATGAAAACTTGAATCCAGGTTACACTGAAACCTTATTAGTAGTCATTAAGTACGTACTTTTGGTTTCACAACGAGCAAAGGAATATGGCAGTAGAAATTTTAATCTCATATAGCCACGTAGTTGGCTCAGATTTCTGTGGCCACGTTACTTTTACGAATAAGCCTAAAACAAGATTACCGCCTTAATTTAATAAGGAAATTTAATTCTTGAATTTCATTCGGTTTCATATTAAACTCCTAAAAGCATTTAATTTAGGAACTATTTTAAATTATTGGCTTTGACTGATGACTTCAAATGCACGAGGCAGCTCAGGTTAAGTAGCTAGACTTTTCAGAGTTATTTGTACTTTCTTTTTACTCAAACCTTTTCCAAGCGAGAAGAGATATGTGTATGGCATTTATAAACTGATGATTATGGTTGTTTATTAAAACTTATAAGACGAAGCAGACTTTGGACAAAAGCTTATTTTTACACATCTTTCTTGATAGGTACATTATATTGGTCTTTGTGAGTCCTTTGTAAAAGTACATCGGCAAATAAAGTTCAGTCACACGGATAGGTATGTGAAATGCGATTAACTAAAAGGATACACTGCTTGGGTGTGCGGAAACGTAGTGTATTGGAAAATAGGGGACGGATTGACCGTCGGGACACTGGATATATCATTGGAGTCTCTTACAGACAGCGGTCAATGTACCAGTCGTATGATTGATTACATGAAAAATGTGTAAGTAGATTATTACGGGTTTTGAATTAGATTTACATAAAAATAATACACCTACTTTGACTATATAGACAAAAATAACGCATTACCTACTGAACGACAAAAATTGCATAAAAAATTAATACAAGAACAGAATAAACAAGTTAACTCATAAAAACACATTCTAAATGTAACTTAAGTAACTACGTAATACGTGTTAATAATATCAAATTTAACTGCAAATCTATCCAATACAGGAAGCAACCTTCTAAGGAAGCAGATCA